AAAAACGGATTCTTACGTGACTCACTTGTAAATGCTGAGATGATAATGTACGCATTCTGATATCCCCACTTCGTCTTTATTTGACGTCGAAAGTGTATGTCCCAGATCTCTAACTGTTTTACTAATTATAAATTTGTGAAGACGACTTTCGAAAATTTCAAGTTGGGCGCACGTTTGCAAAGACAATGCGAGGATTAGAGCATCCGTGCCGGCACCTATTATTGCGGCAAAAAATGAAGTTATAATTTGATGAATGGATATAATCCAGAACACTAGAGGTATATTATAATCCCATGGCAGCCATATTCGATAAGGTATATGACCTTGCATAACATTTAATACTGATCCTATTGCAGTGCCTGCAAAGGCGCTAATCCCCAAAAAAGAGTATCTTATCGAGAACGTTCTGTAAACATAGAACCAATATTAAATTGTATAAACGCAAAAATTATTTGTACTTATAATTTACAGAAATTTATTTTTTAAAAATTCAAATAGGGGAAAGTGGGATAATACTGCGAACAAGGGGTAAACGCGAACAATACTATATTAGAGTAGTGATATTCTCCCACCTCTTGTACCACTGTACGTATATCGGCTATCGCTGGGTGCGAGAAGCGGGAGAACATCATTACTCTAATATATTACAATAGTAATTTTTTGTGTTTATCCCGTGTTCGCAGTTGGAAGAGAGTTACCTCCACTCTCCCCTACTATTTTGTAGTTCTATATGCGTTGAACCTGTATGTATTTAATAATTAATTTAAAATAATATTTAAGAAACTCCTTTAAAAAGAAATTGTACCATGTCTTTTTATATGTGGAAATGATAATTCGGAAATATGTAATCAACGAAATTAAGCAAAAAATAAATGGTCCAGAATTTGTGTTAAAGGAACAACGTTAATCAATATCATATTGATCAAATTCGGGCAATACGGAAGTAATATATGTATGCTAGACGTATATATAGTAATAAATCATTATATAAACATTTTAAGTCGGTAATATTAATAGTTTAATATATCGAGACGTTTTAATAAACATACGAACTAACCTGATAAACTTATCAAATTT